AGTAGCAGGCGGGAAACTCAGCAAGGCATTCAGTCTATGGGCAAAACTCAGAAATCAGTCGTGTGTTTCAGTCCATGTTTGGACGGGTCATCACACTACCCCCCCCTCAAGAGTGAGGTCCCTTCGAGTGAGTAACTCACTCTGAGTCCTCGACAAACGCATCGTAAGCAAGCACGGCAAAGAGGTTCCTAGAATACTCCGTCGCAGTAAGCCTTGCGGAGATCTTAGGAGTAGCGTCAACTGCAATTTGATGCTCGTAGCCCTTAACAACGTGTGGGGCGCTGCGTAGCAGTTCCTGCTTGGAAATCCGGTACAGATCATCCAACGGGTGATACATGAAGTGAACCTGGTACGATCTGTTGCGTCCTTTCCCTATGTGCTGTTTAATTCTGTCTATCTCATGCCCGCTTTTGATTGCACGAGGGATCATGTCTTCGCGATAATCGAGCGTCTTAGCATCACGGTGGAGGTACAGTTTCGATGCATGGAACATGGGGTATGTGCGCAGATGGGCTGGCACATCAACTACGTACGAAGGGCCAAAGTGGTTTTCGCCAGTCACATCCAAAACTTCCCACGGTCCGTAATAGAGTGGGAGAAGTTTGCGAGAGACCCCTTCTTCTTCTGAGAATTCAGACATCTTGAGTCGGACATAGCTTCCTACCTGAATGTCCGACGGTTGGTGCCTCTTGTTCGGGTGATGGATCATGGCGTGCTGTCGCTTGGTTGTGGCTGCAATGGCAATATCGAGCAAGCGATCATACTTGGCCCTGAAGCCAGGCCTGTCGGGTGTTAAGCCAGCTGGCTGCTCAGGGAATAGGTAGGAGAGCGGATTATGGATCTGCCAACCGAGATGCAGCCTGTTAGGTGTCTTGCCGGTGGCAGAGTGGATGGAGTTGTTGTACAACCCCCTAACGGAATACAACTCTTCATCCCATGTTTCCTAATCAGGGATAATCAAAGCGCAGAGAAGTTGGAACACAGTCTAGTTGATTTCTTCAGCCAAACCGTTGGCTTCAGGGTGTCGGCCAGATGTCATACACAGCCTGATCCCAGATGAGACCTGAAGTCCTTCCATTCAGTACTAATGAAGCGTGGGTCCCGATCGCTTACGAGAGTCTTCGGGGTCCCGAACTGCAGAATGTACTTCTGTTGGAACTCATGAATCACTAATTATGTTGGGGCGTGCGGCGGCAAAGGGATCAGATTGAGAAACTTGTAGAATTGGTCAACAATCACCATGACTTGTGAGTAGCCGTTCTTACTTACCTTTCCCATGTCAGTGAAGTCGATGGAGACGGACTCCCCGGGACCATCGGGAATGGGAAGGGGTGTGAGTAACCCCATGGGCTTTTGTTTGCATGGTTTGATTCGTTGACAAACTTGACACTCAGCCACAAACTTTTCAGCAGTCCCTTCCATGCCAGACCAATCAAACTGTCGTAGCAGATTTGCATACGTCTTTGCCATGCCGAAGTGTTCGCTCCGGCCATGAGCCAAATCCAGAAAGTGCGTGCGGAGAGGCTCATGGTTGGGTACACACAAACGGTCGTGGTTCCCGTAGCGACGGAAAACCAGTCCCCCATACTCGTGAAAATCAGGCTGATTGCTAGGGTCAGCCCGCAGCTGCTCAAGGATGGGACTAAGCTCCAGATCCTTGGCTGTGTGCTCTACGAGCTCCTCCTTCAGTTTCTTCCGGAGGTCGTAGGATTTCACAAGGCACGTCATATACTCAGGGTGGCGAGACAAAGCATCAGCTACTCGGTTATAACAAACCTTCTTGTGTCTTAATTCAAAATCATAAATGTCAATCTCATGAAACCAGCGAAGCAAGGTAGGGGACAAGGTAGGTTGCTGTTTGATCCACTTCAGGGTTTCATGATCTGAGAATACCTTGAAGTGGCATCCCAAAAGGTAGTGTTTTCAATGATCCAATGCCATACGCAGGGCATTGAGCTCGTGCATGTAGGTGGAAGTGACTACCTTTTCGCCGGGAATGCGTTTGCTGTAATATTCGAGCGGCCGCAAGCCATCGCCGTCATCTTGCTACAACACTACGCCGATTCCATACTGACTTGCATCCGTAGTAACTACGAATGTCAGTTTAGGATTTGCAATGCGGAGTACTGGGTAACTTACCAAGGCGTCTTTCAAAGCTTGAAAGGCGTTCGTGCACGCGGTGTCCCAAGAATAGGGAACATTCTTACTTGTCAGTTGAGACAATGGACGCGCAACAATGGAGAAGCGGGGCACAAACTTCCGATAGTATGACGTGAGACCAAGAAAAGAGCGCAGTTCACGAACATTCACGGGCTGAGGCCAGTTGCGTATGACCTCCACCTTGGTTGCCTTAGGCTCTAGGCCTGCAGCAGACGACTGGTGCCCAAGATAGATGACACTATCCTTCCCAAACTCAGATTTCTCTAAGTTGAGATGAAGTTGCGTCTTCTTGAGGATGGTCAATACTTCCTCGAGGTGCTTGAGGTGTTCCTCCATGGACTTGCTGAAGATTAGTATGTCATCGAGGTAGACCACCATGGACCGACCAATCTGTTCGTGAAGGACTTTGTCCATGAGGCTTTGGAAGGTGGTCGGTGCGTTCGTGAGACCGAAGGGCATTACGGTAAACTCGTAAAGCCCATCGCGTGTTTTGAACGCAGTTTTGTGCTGGTCCGCACGATCGACTTCAATCTGGTGGCACCCAGACTTGAGATCGATCTTGGAGAAGACCTTGCACCGACCTGCGGCATCAAGCAAGTCATCTATTCGGGGTAATGGATAGATGTTCTTTCTTGTAATGCGGTTTAGGCCGCGATAATCAATACACATGCGGAGCTTGCCTCCTTTCTTTGGAACAAACAAGACAGGAGCACCAAATTCGGATTCACTAGGCTTGATCCACCCCTTGTCAATCATTTCGTCAATCTGTCGCCGAAGTTCCTCCAACTCGCCGGGTCCCATTCGGTACACGCAGCCCTTTGGAGGAACAACACCCTCGACCAACTCGATCGTGTGTCGGACCGATTGCGTGGGGACTCCACGTGGCTTGTCCAAAACTTCTGGGAACCGATCGAGTAAGTTTTGGATGTTCGGTGGACCCGGTGGGGTGGAGGATCAGCAAACGGATCACTTAAGTTAGGTTCCAGGTCGCGAATAGAGGCAACCGAATCTGAAGTGGGATCATTTGGAGTAGTAGGAGGTAGAGAAGTAGAGGTGCTAGTAGTAGTAGTACTAGAAGTAGTATGACTAGATGAAGTAGTAGTGGTATTAACTGCAAAAGTAGATGGCATATGAGTAGGACGAACAAAGGCAACATACAATTGTTCATCCTCCTTGTGCTTGCGCCATTTCTTGCAGAACGTCATAGCATTCAAAAAAATCACTGGGGACTCGTGCTTCTCATCCAAGAGGACAGGAAGCTCGTTCCCTCGAGCATCTTTGACCATGAAGAGTGACTCCTTCCACTTTGTCCATTCGCATTGGGACTGCAGCCAGCCCAAGCCAAGGACAACGTTGAAGAGGCACTTGTCAAGGACATAGAAGTTCAGCGCGTGGGTGACAATTTTGTTCTTGTCAAAGGTAGTGCGCACACCTTTGACTGCATGCGTAGAAGAGACAACTTCCTTGTTGCCAACTTGGGTTTGACAAGGGTTTTGCAAGACCACTTGCTTCATTCCCGAACCCACTTTGCGTATCCCGTGAGGTGACATGAAGTTAACCCTCGTGCCACAACCAATCAACACACGGAGATAGCGGTGGTTTATGAGAAGTTTGAAGAAGATCAACTTCGTTGTCCCCTGGACACGCTGCTGTTTAATCTCAACCCAATGCTTTAAGTGGTTGTGGAAGTCAACCGTCCTAGACTCCTCCCAAGGCTCAATATACAACACATCACACACTTCAGCCTTGGCTTCAGCAGATGATTGGGCTTCAAGGGAGGACTGTTGATCTGCGTCAGATTCAGTCTCCCTAGCTGTAGAGTGTGCTGAAGTCGACTCTACGCCCTAGTCTGTTTTCCCTGCAGCCTATAGCAATCCTGTACTTTATGGTTTGATTTCTGGCAATGCAGGCATACCCCCTTCTTGAGTCTACCCCGCCAATCATTTTCAGTGATTTGGAGATCGACCCGTGGTTTAGTGGCCGCATCCTCTGGTTTTGCTAGGATCTTGACTCCTTTGGGAAGTTGGACATAATTCTTCCCTGCATTTCGATTCAGTCCCCTTGCATTGGCAGTCTTTTTAAAGGAAGTGAATTTTTCTTCTTCTTGATTTACATCAGACTCATGGGCTGACGAACAGGCTGTATCAGCGTCCTGTTCTTGGTCGTCACCAAGAGTGGGGTCATCTGCTTCGGCCTCCTCTTCAGCCTCTAGCAGGTCATGCACAACAAAACGGCTGCTGCCTTTGAACCGCTTGCGGCCCATGGGCTTTTTGCTGCCTACTATGGTGACGAGGTCTACGGCCTTGAGACTGACTATGTCCTTCATTAGAGTGAACTAGTCAGTATACCCAATAAAGTCCCTGCCTAGGCGACTAGTAAGACTGGTGGGGACTGCGCCCTTGACCACATCCAAGCAAGATTGGTCAGTCAGCTCAAGACCAGGTGTAGCAAACATCTTGCTGAGATAGGTTTGCAGGCTTTTCATGGAGCCCGTCCACTTGCTGCGTTTGATTTTGTCAAGTTGGCTTCTTGCCCTTGCTGTAGCATGTGGATCCTTATACTGGGCAATGAGGAGCTTCTCGAGGGAGGCAACCGGGGTGGCCTTAAGCCACCTTGTCAGTTTGATCTTTGGAACCCCAGCCCGCGTAGCTTGGACTTCTGGGAAGCCCCGTACAATCGGCTCGACATTCATTCCCATGATCACTGGCTGGGTTTCTAGCTGAGTCCCCAACACCTCGAAGTATGCCCTCATGGAGCTGATCCAAGATTCAATGTCTTCTTTGTTGTCGTACTTAGACGGTATTTGCACCGCCTTTCGGTCCACATGGGGACCAGCGTAGCTGGAACCAGCAACTGCTGGTTTCGATCTTAGGGCTGCAGTAGTTGCAAAGTTTCCTGCCTCGTTGCTGGTTACAGCAGCAGCGGAATCTGCACCTGCCGCAGGTCCAGAGGGGTTCACCATCACACTCAAGGAAGCAGCAAAAGTAGATACGGTAAGAGGGGCAAGATTAGTCTCAATTGCAGCTCCGAAACCAGGGGGTAGAGGAAGAGGATTGGTTACTTGGGCCTGTCTCAACGCAGCAACCTCTACCATCAAGTCACGGTACTTGCTGGTCATATCAGTCAGATCCTCCTGAAGTGTCTTCAATTTTGCGAAGACGTCGGCGATCTGAGTGGTATGATCTTCAAGCCTCCGGACTTAGACGATAGTCTGCAGCTGTTCCCCACACTGCTTTTTGGTCAGCGAGGGAACAATTTCCAAGATGGCCTCCTGACTTTTCAACAGCTGTTCCTTCCTCTCCTTCTCCGCTTCCTGTTCCCTTTCTAGAGCACTATCTAGGAGTGCTTGCAGATACGGTTTCTCAGTATCGCTGGCTGCATTTAATAAGGCCCGCCATTGTCCTGAGGATAGCTGGGCCGTTTTCGGACCATTAGTGTTGGCAGGTGGGTCAGAGAGACGCCAATCAGCAAAAGAATCAATTAGACTCTCAAGAGGTACACTCCCCTTTTTACCTGGACGAACACTCCTTTTCCCAGTCCTTACCCACTCCAGACGGTCACTTTCCCTTAGAGAAGAGAAGGTAGAACTCCTAGCTGGAGCGGCATTTCATTTGGACTTAGAGAGTAGCAAACCAAAGAACGACAAACAATTTCATATGAGAGGTTTGATCCAACGACCCAGTCTGATCAGACTGCATACGAGGTCCTCTCGAGTCTAGTCTGACCAGCTCCGCGACCGTACAACAAATCAAACAATGAGTGACTAAATGCAACAATGGAGAATTGAGTGGTGTACAGGGTGCGAGTCAAGCCACGGACAGTGCAACCAAAAGACATGCGAAATGTCTCAGCCGAGATCCCCTCGGCAGTGAGTGTCCTAACCAAGAAGAAAGAACTCCGTAACACAGTCAGAAGACAATGGGCTAGCCTAACCGATGTGGGCCCAAAGGGATCTTCTTGTTTGGGCCCAGTCCCATTGGGTTTCGGAGGTCCCACGTAGGTCACGGCCAGTTCCCAACCAAGAGGAGTCCCTCATGGACTTAGTTCAGTTTCTACTGTACTGAAAAACAAAATTTCAACTTTTGGCAAAACCTACAGACTACAACCGTTCAGAGATGAAAGACGAAGCACTGTAGAAAGACTCGGTAGGACAACAACCGTTCACATGCATTCAATCACACAATCAAGACCACAGAGGAGTAGGAAACGAAACCCAAAGTAACACCAGCAGGACAAACCATACCATGCACACACACATGGGCATCTTGTAGGCGCACGACACTTACCTGAGTGGCCTTGAGCTTCGAGATGAATAGAACTCACCCCCCTCTCATGTGATCCTCCTGACCCCTCTAACGCTACCCCTACACTAGTGTCCTATCTCCTAGGAGGGTCTGACTCCAACACCCAAGTTCAACGCCGGATCCCCCGTCGATGCTGAAGAACAATGTAGCAACTTGCAGTCCATAGATGCTGAGTGGCCGCTGTCCCTCAAGCTCGCCTACTTGAGGGCAGCCCTTACGTTGCCAAGTTTCTCCCTTGAATCAGATTCCAGGTGCGAGTGCCTCTCACTGCCGCCTCTCTCAAATTGCCGCATGAAGCCTCCTCGAAATGTCTCGCCACCCTAATCTCACTCTCAAGCAACCTGGTTAGGTTCAACGTCGATCCTCCGTGACTTAACCAGGTGGGGGCAGTTTCCCTCAACCACGCTGCCCCTCTTCCCTTCACAAACCAACCCTAACCGTAAGTGTTGCCCTCAATCCACTTAGGTTAGGGTTAGGGCAGCAAAGTCAACTCTCACCAGCAAGTTGAATCCACTCCGATACCAATGTTATGCTCCTGGCCAATTTCGAGATACGCATCCATCAGAAAGTACAATGCCGTCCAATTGCAGAAAGAAATGAATGAACTTGAGAGGAGAGAGAGAGGATTAGAAGAAGAAGAAGAAGAAGTAAGAAAGAAGACGAAGATGATGTACACCAGCATAGACAAATGACAAGGCTCTTCTTCTTCGCCCAACAATCTCCTCCTCCTTATCTCCCCCTTCGCTTATTCATACAAGAAATAATTATACAATGTTGAATAGCTGATCCAGAATCAATGTCCGAGTTCCTCTTCTACCACCGGCATCACTTGAAGTCCACCATAGCCATGGCTGCCTCCTCCTCCCTTCCTCATCATAGGCCGAGGCTATGGCGGACTACTAATGCCCAAAGGACAACCCAAAGCAGCTATGGCTGCTTCACTCAGGCCGCCATGCCCAACTCTGCCTTGAAGCTTCTTGGTGTGGCTCTCCCCAGTTGGGACTCCCTGCTGCAGTGCCCACCAAGGTGATGAAGATGGCTGCCACCATAGCCAGGTAAGTACCCCTGGCGCTCCTCCCCCTTCCTGTCCTTCTTCCTCCTCTGTGTCCTTCTCCTTCCCCCAGCAGCGCTGCTCCTGGATAGCGCTGCTCCAACTGGCGCTCCTACCAGTGTGTCGCCAAACTTGCACACCGAGAAAGAGGCCGGGCACTTCGCCCGGCTGGGAGATATAGCGGCCTGCTTGCCTCTTCGGGCGGTGACTTCCAGGCCGCTCGGCCTCCCAAGCAACCGGTACCTCCCCCCTTTCGGAGGGAAACATCATTGCAGACTCTGATATTGCCCGTGCAGGCCCTAGACCCAGACTGGTTGGACTGGTATCCGCCTAGACCTAACCTACAACTATTGGGCCTCTAAAAATGCCACTTTTGTCTTCTTCTGCTCGGCCTCCAGTACCCGCACATCTACCCCTTCAGGGTGCGGTACCAGCCTATCCACTACTTGAGTGTTTTCTTAAAAAGGGTTGTAGAGGTGTCGGGGGTTATGACCCAGGGAGGATGTCCGACAGACGGCTTCCCGCGCCGGGGTCAGCCCTACTGGCGGTGCAGCGGGCCCACCCACTACCCAGTGATCAGTCAAGGAGGGACGCGCCAGCTCCTGCTAGGGGAGGGGTGACCCCCTCGCTCCTCCCGCACGCTCCAACTGAGCCTGCCCCTCCCGGAGCCACCCCCCCCCCCATGGCCTCGACAACCCCAAGGGGAGGCACACGCTCAACCATTGAGGGGATCCGGGAAGTACGATCGGGATATCAGCAGCAAGTGGGCACCCTTGCAGGTGGCTCCCCAAGTCCAGAGCTGCAGAGCCCTGTGTACTTCCGTGCCCCTCTGAGCGCGCGCGCTCAGTGTGTGAGTGGTAGTGCGTCAACCTAACGCCGTGCTGGCGGCATATGCACGAGGTTGTGGATTTGAACCCGCAACCTCAGACCACAAGGTGCCCTAACCACTGGGCCATCCGCCATGCTGCAATCCCTCAATGTCACGGCCACAGGTAAGTACCGGCCCTGAGGGCCCAATGAATGAGCAAGTGCCCTTGCGGGCCACACACACATTCAAGCCAACCAGAACTCAGACAGGCACGTCCACACACACTCAAGCCAGCCGGCACTCAGACAGACATGCAGTCAAGCAAGCGTGCACACACAGACTTAGTAGCAGGCGGGAAACTCAGCAAGGCATTCAGTCTATGGGCAAAACTCAGAAATCAGTCGTGTGTTTCAGTCCATGTTTGGACGGGTCATCACANAGTAGCAGGCGGGAAACTCAGCAAGGCATTCAGTCTATGGGCAAAACTCAGAAATCAGTCGTGTGTTTCAGTCCATGTTTGGACGGGTCATCACAAATTCTTTTATTTTATTTTTTATTATTAATTTTTTTGGCCCGGCCGGGCAAGTGACCCTGGGCCACTCTGGTAGCCTAGCTTATTAATAAGTTATTACTACCACTGCAAGGAATATGAGTGTGAGCGATACACATAAAACCAAGTTGCGAAATCACACAGCTGAGCAAGTAGTCGTGTCCCAAGCAGAGAGTACAAATGCACCGAGAAAACCATCCATATAGAGAAATACAATGAAGTAATGAGCCAATGTCCAGGCCTGTAGGCCACACAAACACAGTATCCAAAGTCGCTCTCTCCTGTCTGGCGCTCGGTGCCCAGCCTACTCTACCTGACTAGCCTACCTACAGCCGGTTGACGCAACAGGATCACTTCGACTCTCGAAGACCAATGTACATGACTGCCAACATCATCGCCGACCTCTCTTCATGTACCAGGTACGTATCTCGTCACCCTCAATCAGACCTTGATTACCCTACACAGCGCCTCCTTCCCTGAAGACCGCCCGATCATCCGCTGTACCCCCTGGCGCCTAGCAGCCCGGCTATGGCTGCCAGCGCCTCGCTGCCCTGCAGCAGCCCACCTCACCTCTCGCACCCCGTCAACGCCCTTGGCAGCAGCGCAGCATCAAGCGAGAGCGCAGCAACACTTCCGCATTGCCAGCGCTGGCCAGAATGCCTGGCCTGGGCTGCTCTCTTCCTTTTGTGGAAGTGGCAGCCTCCTGCATGCTGCGTGTGGCTTGGCTGGAAGATTCCAGCAGCTTCCGGTTGTGTCCCAGACCCTGCGCCCAGGGCCGAGACTACAGTTGAGGGCCTGGGTCCTTTGCAGTTAGGCACGGCCTGAGTCTCCGGACTTGGGTTGTTTGCTGCATCTGCGCAGGGCTAGCGGGCAGGTGCATTGGCACTACTGCTTATGCAAAGGCCGAAGGCCTGCTTCCCAATGTATCGGTTCTGCCTTTGTGTATGTGTGCCCAGGCGCAACTGTCAAGGCCTGGGCCAACTGTATGACGCAACAATGTGAGGCTCACGCGTCTTCCCAACCAACTGGCGTGCTGCGAGAGCCTGAATACCCACATATGAAAATGTCGAAATTTGCCTTTGACGAATATTCAGGCCCGCCTTCACTTAGGGCGGGCACTTGGCTTGCTGGGGTCCTTAGCCCAGAACAATGTGATGTCTGATAGGGCCCCTTGAGGGCTTGTTCCTCACACCACTACTAATTACTAGTAATTAGTACTATACTAAGTTACTAACTATAGCATATTATGAAGTTACTACTACTTACTATAAACTATTATAAAGTTATAAACCAGTCTAAATAAAGCTTTAAAATTTTGGACTGTTACTTTTGTACTAAATAAAGCTTTGTTTAGACTGGTTCATAGTACCTGGCACATGTGGTTGGTTGGGTACTAGAGTAACTAGACACATGTCACAACTGTTGGTAACAAGGTCGTGAGTTCGAACTCTGAAAGGAATCAGATGGTACTAGTTGCTTTTGCCCGTGGGCCGTGGGTCGGTTCAGTGCGTGTGTTGCTGATCTGGATTTTGGTTGGGGTTGCTGATTGGAGGTGCATAGGGAGTAGAGTTGGAACTTGGTGAATCATTTTGGGATTTTTGTCCGTGGGTGATTAGGATTAGATCATTGACAATCTTGTTTTGCGTGCGTTTGGTTGGTGATTTGTTACCTGGCTTGGATTTCGCTAGATTAGGGTTGCGTAAGAATGGCGGTTTGGAGAAGGGGTGGGATTAGGATTTCAGTGTTCTAAATTAGGGAATGTGATTTTTGTTTTAGGGTTGGGATTGAGATTGGTTGTCATCACCTTGTGGGGCTGCGGTAGGGATAGTTTTGGCCGAGAGTGCCTTGCTTAGCCCGTTTGGCAGCAGCAAATGATGTAGGGATGCCGGGCCCGTTGCCCGGTTATATGATATCTGCTTTGTTCGGAGTTAAAAATAAAAAGACTACTATCAGCTCCTTTGTTTTTTTTTTGAAAGAAAACTTAAGAACGTAACGTATGTTTTTGTAGCTTAGACAAAGTATGTTGTAGCTATGATTAGGTTCAAATTTGAAAGTGATATGGAAGCTATAACATGGTGAGTGCGATGCGAGGGATGCACACCTCGTGCCCTGCTGGAGTTGCAAACCTTGGTGATGCGGCACTGATGCCTAGAGCCTTGGAACATTTTTCTTAGTTTTCTATTTTTTGCCATAGCACCCTAAACTTTATCACTGGGTTTGCTGTGAGGGGCCCATCCAGCCTTTCCTCTTCAGATGACACACTGCCAATGTGGTCTGGTTATGCATGCATGTGTACACGCGCGCGTGTGTGTGTGTGTGTGTGTGTGTGTGTGTGTGTGTGTGTGTGTGTGTGTGTGTGTGTGTGTGTGTGTGTGTGTGTGAGAGAGAGAGAGAGAGAGAGAGAGAGAGAGAGAGAGAGAGAGAGAGAGAGAGAGAGAGAGCCATATGGTCCCTTTCACATTATTAAGAAAACCCCTGCCCGCTCTTCAAAAGTTCCCTGCCAACTTAGCAAGGATCTCGTCAGCGGGAGAAGAATAGTCGCTGGGCTTGTAGTAAGGAGGGAGCAGGCCACCTATATATGGTGTAGATTCAAATTCAGGTCCGTGTTTGAGCAGTTATGGGTTACTGACTTACTAACTGGGCACGTGATTTTCAGAGGTTCACTGCACGACTCACCAAATGTGCAAAACTAGAATGAATCTTCTCCTAGAAAGTGGAACCATACAAGCCATATGTCTTTTTTTTTTTTTGTGCAAGTGCTGATGAGTGGAGTGAGGCCCTTAGGGCCACTGCACGCAAGAAAAGGAAAAACAAAAAGACGAGTTAATTTTTTTTGGTTTGGTGCACTTACAGTTTTTAAAAGGGAGGCACACATTTGGTTACTACAGCCTGCCCTTTTGATTTTTTTTTTTTTTAATTCGTAATTGCGTCGCATCACGTCCGTGCACATGTGTGCTCATGCGCAATGCAGCGCACGTGCGCAACTTGTGCGCACGTGATGCGCCGCATGTATGATTTATACCATTTACTCCGCTTGGCGATGCCCATTGCATTTGTCTGTTTCCCAGAGTGTCTTGGAATTCCTTTGGTTCCAAAAGGTCCCATCGAACTTCTTTTGCTGCAAATGGTCCCATGGACCATGATTGATTGTCACAAAGATTGTGTCCGCGCTCGTCTGTTTCTTTTCTGTCTCTTTGTCTGTATGCATGCGAAGGAGGGGGATTGTGTGCTTGATGGATACGGGAGTGGTTGGTACCCTGGGGGCTGCATGCATGATCCGGGCCTGTCCCGTGCTGTTGGATGTTGAAGGGGAGGTGGAGGTGGTGTTGGACATGGAAGATATGGGGGGAGTGTAGGGGAGCGGTGTGTTTCCATAACAGGTCCTCTTGCCGACACCTTCCGTTTGAGACCTGCTTGGAGGCAATCAGGGATTTCGCATTTGTTGCCTCGTCTTATCCGCTGATCCTGGCGTTGGAAATGCATTTCAGCGAGGACGTGCAAAGCAAAGTTGTGGAGGTGAGTCGGCCAATCGCCTTCGTTTATTTTTCTTTTTTCGTTTATTTTTTTTCCTGATAGAAGTGTCGGCCAATTGTTGCCGTTGTTAATCATACGTTCTTTTTGTTTTTTCTCGCAGTCACGTTTTTCATCTCTCTTGTCATTCGTTTTTCTCGCCGCTTTTCCATTTTTGCATTACTCTTTTTACTGTCAATTTGTCATCCCATTCAGAATTTCGGAAGCGGTCATCACCAGTAGCTTTTTTCATCTCTAGATTTTGTCGCAGTAACTTCTTTTTTATTGTCAATCTGAGTGGCGTATTGAGTGGTAGGGTTGAGTTTCCATGACGGTGTGAATCGTCAAGGAGGTGTGGAGATGATGTACGGCATGATATTAATGCTCAAGCCATCTTCTTCTATTTTGTTCCATTGTGTTTAATCTCATTCTCATGCTCCTTCGACAGACATCTCTCTTTACTTCACATTCAATGAAAAAAAGTTACGAAAAAATTGTATGTCGCTTTCATGATCATGATGATGACGATGAATGACGATGAACGAATGATGATGATGACGATGATCTGCTCTGAACACAGTTGAAGGAATATGTGGAGAAGGAAAATGCAGAGAGGGTTACGGGTGCATTGTTAGGATCACACAGGATTCCTACACAGGCAGAAGCTTTTTTTTTTTTTTTTTTTT